GCAGCCCCGGCGCCAGCTAGCGAGCGGCGAGCGCGGCGAGCACCCGAGAGGAGCGCGAGCACCAGCATGGCGGGGCTCCGACGCCCGCAGCCGGGCTGCTACTGCCGCACCGCCGCGGCCGTGAACCTCCTGCTGGGCGTCTTCCAGGTCCTCCTGCCCTGCTGTCGCCCGGGAGGGGCTCAGGGACAAGGTCAGCCTTGCGCCGCTGTGCTCGCTCTCCCTCTCCACCCCGCCCCCCCTTCTCTTTCTTTTAGGGAACTGCTGAAATCTATAAGAGGGCGAGGGGAGGAAGGGGAAAGGGGCAGGAGGAGGAAGGAAAGCGGTTGCAATTCTCGGCTGATAACATTTTCTGACCGCAGCGTCCCCTCCCGCGTCCCCCACCCCCAGACAAACAGAAAGCTGGGCAGTCGCGGAGCCTGGGGACAGCGGCGCGGACCGCTAGCCGCACGCGCCCGGGCGCCTTTGTGCGCGGGCCCGGGGCGCTCCGGGCGCAGCCCCCGCTTTGTGTGGCGCGCGCTGGGGCCCCGCCGCGGCCCGGCTTCCTGCAGCTTTGTTCCTCGAGCCTGGCCGCCCGGGACCCATCACGCAGACGCCGGCCCCAGATGCTGCGGGATGCGGAGCGCCGAGTGGCCGGCGGCGTGGCTTCCCCGTCTCCGTCCCCCTAGCACGGGAACCCCGGACCTTGCACGCTCCCCGCTCTCTGTCAGAGGGGCCGCCGACTTGCACCCCGTCCATTGTGTTCTTGTCCCCGGCCGGCTCCTCCGGTGGCCGCCGCTTTAAGAAGGAAAGGGTGACTTGTTTTGGTGAGGCGGGTACATGGGGGCACGGGAGGGAAACAGGAAGCGTTTCTTTTCCGTGCATTAAAACGCGGTGTGTTTCTTGGTGTTCGTGCAGCGATTGAGCCCTTGCCCAACGTGGTGGAGCTGTGGCAGGCAGAAGAAGGGGAACTCCTGCTGCCCACTCAGGTGAGGACGACCAGGTGACAGGGCGGGTGTGGGTGTGCGAGGGTGGAGCGGCCGGGAGGCCGTCGGGCCCCCCCCCCCCCCCCCCGCAGCGGCTCCGGCGCTCGGGCCACTTTGCAAGGCAAATAAACGGTCGGCCCGAGCCTGAACACCTGGCAACGGTGGCCTTCCCAGCCTCCTCCCGCGCCATGTGACAGGGCGTGAGTCACGCCCGCCCCAAGTTCAGGAGGTGGGAGCCGAGGCCACCTCAGCAGAGCCGCGGCCAGCGGCAGCCTTGTGCAGGGGAAGGGCGGGCCCCTCGGCAGGGCTGTGGTCCTGGGTGCGCGAGGGACGTGTGCCCTGTTCCCTAAGTGAGCTTGCGCCGTGTGCCTGAGGACAACAGGGAGACTGATTTCAGAAGTGTTAGTGAGTGGCACTTGCCGTTAGCGTTAAGCAGCTTTGCAGTGAAGATGGGACTTTAAAAGATTGTAGTCTTGGATTTTTTCCAAGTGCCTTTAATTCGTGTTAGGTGCACCCTCTTAACAACTTGAATTTCAGGTTTTGGGGGTTCTCCCCCCATTTGATACAAAGATTGCATGTGGAAAAATAATTAGCATTTCATTGAGAATCTGTGGCATCATACAGGGTTTACTTAGGGCTGAGGTAGCTACGGTGCTGCAAAGCGTTGTGTTAAGGTTTAACTTTTAACGTTTGACTGCAAATGTGCACATTTAAATATAATATTGTTGACTGCTTTTCAGCAGCAACTGTAGTGACCCCCAAATACTTTTTTTTTTGGAGAGGGGAGAGTTGAATTATAAGGGAGTATTCAGCTTGTGTGTGGTAATTTTTAAGATGTTCATTACTTCCCACATTGGTGGCAGCACTTAATTCTGTGTTGTCTCTTGTGGCTCTTTGGAAAAACAGGATGTCTAGCTATAAGTTCACGGCTGTGCAGTTTTATGTTTGAGTTTCTCCCTCCTATGTGAAGCAGTGGAGTGCTGGTTTTGAGATACTCAGAATACTCACTTTAACCAGGACTAATGAATAACAGCTTCAAGGCAGAGAGGTGATTTTTAGAGGAAAATTTTCCTGGACCTTCCCTGAAGGCCAGCATGCTGAATGAGACCAGTCCTTTGAGAAAAAGCCTCATCGGGATGGAGAGCAAATAGTCTGTCCTTCTCTTAAAAGTGTACCCCAAATGGATTTTTTTTCTGATTATAAATAACAGATGTGTATTGTGGAAGGTTTGGAAAATACAGAAAGATAAAAAGAACCACATAGAAATCATTCATGACTCTACTGAGAGATCCACGTTTAAAATTTAACGTTTTTACTTTTTAAAAATATGGTTATATTTGTGTGTGTATCAAAATTGTTCAAAAGCAGCATTAATAACATTCTGGACTGGAGACTGACTTCTGTGTTGTGAAGGCTGTCCTGAGTGGACTTCTGTGTCCTGGGGGCTACGAGATGCCCAGCAGTTAGAGCATCTCTGTCTCTACCCCTTAGATGCCAGTGGCACTTTCTCCTCCCCTTCCCCCCGGTTGTGACAGCTAAAAATGTCCCCAGACATTGCCAGATGTCCCTGGGGAGGAAAATTGCCCCGGTTGAGAAGCACTGGTGTGCATCTATATGTATTTGCATTTTTTACTCAATTGTGGCCTGTACTCCTTACTGGTTAGTGTTGGAAGCCGAGTCTTATTTGTTGCAGCATTAGCTGAAGATTTAGTCACTGTGCTCAGAGATAGAAATGTCAAGGCCTATGATATGATTAATGATTTTATTTATAGGCTTAAAAGTTACTTTATAAAATTCTTAATTTGTGGTTTTGTTTATTTGTTGAATACAGTTTGTTTTGGTAAAAAAAAAAATGCACACAATTTAGAAGCTGTCTTTCTGGAACACTCACTATAGAAGCATTTATAACTAAGCTGTTTTAATCAAAGCTATAATGAAAGTGAAACTGATATTCAAAATAATTTTCTAAATACTTCGTTTCTATATGTGTATCTTTTAGACACTGTTTTACTCCGCATGTGCCTGGGTGGGGATGGGGATATATATGAATCTGTCTATATCTATCTATGTAAACTGCGGGTATATATGCACGTGTATCTATCTAAACAGCATATATGCACATGCGCACGTATGTATATAAACTGCAGAGAGTTCTGAAGAAAGTTATTTTTAGAGAATTCTCTTCAAAGTATTTTGACTTTTTTCCCACAAAAAGCTCCCCATGTGTGTCATGGAGTCAGCTGAAAAGAGTATTTATAGGTGTTTTTTAAATTTGAGGGTTTCTGCTTAATTAATTTGTAGGTTGGATTCCTTTCACTCAGGAAGACTCTGAGGCAGCTGCAGAAGCTAAGATTTGTCAGTGATAGGTGAACTGGGAGCACCAGAAGGTGTCGCATTCAAAAATCGAATATTTGTCACCCCGAAGTATTTATACAGTTATTTGTTTTGGAAATGTTTTCTGGTGATTGGGTCTTCTTTTTTTTTTTTTTTCTAATGGGTCTTTAAGTGATCAAGGACTAGAAAAATGCATCATTAGTAAAACCAAATACAATAATTGAATTTTTATAATCTTCCAGACCCTCTGGATAGGCTTCCAGGATTTGACTCCGGGTTCCATCCCTTTTCTCAGTCTCTTCATCCGCAAAATGGGGGTAATCCTCTGAGATCAGCAGTGCTTGAAGTATCTTGAACTTAGTAAGCACTTTATGTATGGTACCTATTATTTTGGTGTACTTCTCAGCTGACTACTAGATTTGGTCACTGGAGGGCATGGGACAGCTTTCCTGCTTTGAAGGGGTTGAACCAGTGCAGAGAACTCAGTACTATTATATGCTCTACAGTTGTATAGATATGTTTTGTTACTTACATTTTTTTGTTATGTGCTGTTTTACGTGGTAAGATATTTGGTGTGGGAATAGAAAACATTCTTCCATGATGATAATGAGAAGGAAGAAAAAAAACCATGTGATTTTATTCTTAGATTTACAGAATTTTTCCTCTCTTCTGACTTTACTTCACCCATACTTCAATACAAAGTGGTGATGGTTGGGAACCAAACAAATGTTTTCATTAGCTTATTATCAAGAAGTGGTGGCGTGTGTGCAAGATACTGCTCTGTGTACCTTCTCAATTCACCTTCAAGGTAAAAACCCTTCTGTGATCCCCTTGACCTGCTCTGGCTCTCGGGGCCTTCCTGACCTCATGTGTCGCTCCAGTTAGTCCTCTGGGATGCTCTAGGATGCTCGCTCCAGCAGGCCCCACATGTACCTGCTGAATGAGAGTACAAATGCTATTGCCCTGCTGTTCCCAGAGAGCCAGTGCGTCCAGACTTCTAACTCGGCAGTGGCACTGTTGTCATTTCTCTCTCTCTGAGTTTCTTGAGTGTCTTTGCCTTGCCTGTGCCTTCTTGCCCTAACTGGGTTCCCTGTGAGAGAGTTTGGGCTTCTAAGCTTGGTGGTCCCATTGTGGCCACACTGTTCTGCATACAGGAGGCCTTGAGTAGCTGGCCCATGAGTTCTTCCTGGGGCAGGAGAGGCAGTCCTCAGTGTCTTGTCATGTTTACGAGGTTAATTTCAAAGGTGGCTGGCAGAGTGCCTGAAGTGTTGATTTCCTATTATTGTTTCTGGGTTTGGGTTTTTTTTGTTTTGGGTTTTTTTGTTTTGTTGTTTTGTTTTGTTTTGTTTTTTGGTGTGAGTTCTAGCAGCAAGAAGGGCAATCTAGAATTTGTTCTTCTAATCCATTCAGACTTTGCTGAGATGAGAAGCCTCCCTCCTAACACCCCTGGTTAGATTTGGGACACTGACATTGGTGCTGAGTAGGAGCAGCTGTTACTTGATAGAGAATCATGTTGATCTGGTTTGGGGTGGCTAGGCTTCGTGCTTTTCTGGCCATGTTTGTTCATCTAGCAGATACTTAGCATGGGCCTGACCCAGTTAGGTCCCTGGGATACAGTGATTATAAATAAGAAAGTCTCTGCTTTTAAAAATCTCATGTCTTACCCCCTTATGTCTGAGGGTATAGGTAACAGAAACTGGTAGAAAGTGAAACAGGAAATAGTACATTGAGTATCTGAATTCTTTATTGTCTCAGCTACTGTGTTATTTAATAGCATCTTGCTCCCGTCAGTGAATCATTGACTGGTATTTGGAAATCTTTTTGTCATAGAGATTTATTTTTGGTTTAATCTACTTCCACTATCAACATAAAAAATAATACCTGAGTTGAATACCTGGCATTGTTTAAGCACTTTATGAGTTATTATTACTCATGTTAATACACTTCAAACTGTGAAGTGTTATGACTTGACTTTACAGATGAGGAAACCGAGGCACAGAGTCATTAAATAATTCGCCCAAGGCTGAAGGAATGTGGCAGTGGTATGATTTGAACCCAGGAGGCGTTGAGCTTCAAAGCCCATGCTCTTGGCCACTACGTCACTGTATGTGTTTTAGCAGTCTCACCAGGGAAGTATTGTGGTGGTAAAGTTCCCGGGTCTGGGGGAGATACCTTCATGTTCTGTTTTGAGTTAGAAAAATTTGCTTCATGAAGTTTTTAAAAATGGTCATATCCACTAGTATTTTTGAAATTTTTGCTTAAAATTTTTTTATTGAGGCATAATTGATGTATAACATTATATTACTTTCAGATATACAACATAACAGTAAGTCTAGTTACCCTCTGTCACCATACGTGGTTACAAAAAAATTTTTTTGGCTTATGATAACTTTTAAGATTTACTCTCAGTAACTTTCAAATTTGCAATACAGTATTACTCACTGGTCGAATGCTGTACATTACGTCCCCAGGACTTATGTAGTTATTTTATAACTGGAAGTTCATACCTTTTGACCAACTTCACCCATTTTGCCTCCCCAACCCTCTTGGCTCCCCAGTAGTCACCAGTCTATTCTCTGTATCTTTGAACTTGGTATTTGTTTTTAAAATATTTTATTTATTTATTTATTTTAGAGTGCGAGCAGGGGGAGGGGCACAGGGAGAGAGAGAGAATCTGAGGCAGAGTCCATGCTAGCACCGGGGCTCGATCCCACGACCTGGGATCATGCATGACCTGAGCTGAAACCAAGAGTCAGAAGCTCAACTGACTGAGCCACCCAGACGCCCCTGCTTTTGTTTTTGTTTTTCACATTCTGTATTTGAGAGCGACCATAGGTATTTGTCTTTCTCTGTTTGACTTATTTCACTTAGCATAATGCCCTGAGGGTTCATCCATGTTGTTGCAAATGGTGAGATTTCATTTTTTATGGCTGAGTAGTATTTCATTGTTATGTATAAGTACACATATGTACGTACGCATGTACACGTATATATGCACATACACACGTATGCACATCCACACATACCACATCCTTATCCGTACATCTTTCAGTGGACACCTAGGTTGTTTACATATCTTGGCTGTTGTAAATAATGCTGCTATGAACATGGGGGTGCAGATATTTTTTTGAATTCGTGTTTTTGGTTTCTTCAGATAAATACCCAGAAGTGGAATTGTTAGATCAATTTTTAACTTTTTGAGGAACCTCCATACTGTTTTCCAGAGTGGCTGCACCAGTTTGCTTTCCCACCAACAGTGGACGAGGGTTCCTTTTTCTCCACATCTTCGCCAACACTTGTTTTATTTCTTGTCTTTTTGATATTAGCCATTCTAACAGGTGTGAGAAACAGCTAGACTGTCCTTGGCTCTGCAGACATTTATTGAGCGTGTGCTGTGGGCCAAACACTGGTCTAGGTGCTGTGGATGTCAGGTCGAATAAAAGGCAAAACCACTGCCCTGGTGGAGCTTGCAGTCTAATGGAGGCATATAGATGGTAAATAAGAAGTAGAATACATTGTAAGTTCTTCAGTCTGTTAGAAAGGCATCGGTGCTATATGGTGGCAGACCAGAGGAAGATTCAGGTGGTGGGAGCTGGAGTTTTAAGTTAACAAGTTGAAGTAGGTCCCTTTGAGAAGGCCTCTATTTGACATTTGAGCCAACCCTCGAAAGCCATGAGAGATTTAGAATAGCTAGTGCAAGGGCCCTGAGGCACTGCCAAGGGGGTGGGGTAGGGAATTATAGGATTTGGCTCCTGCCCTTTAAGAGCGGGGTGGTGTTGGGGAGATAAGGCTGGTAATACCCTGAGATAACATTCAAGTGCTGAAATGTAGGAACTGAGAGGAGAGAGGAAGAACACTGTGTATTGGCAGAGTCTGTTAAGACTTAGGACTGGGAGGGCCGCTTAGAGAACCGCATTAGTAAGGGTTTGAATGGGACCTCCTCTAGATCCTTATTTGAGTGACAGTGTTTTTAAGCTGATGTTTTAAATGGGGGTCCAGAGCTCCTGATGAAGTGTGGCTGTAGAGATTGGGATGGGTATGTCAAGGGCATTTGACAGTTGCCCAGTTCCAGGTTAAGGAGCTTAGAGTACATCTGAGTAGCAGTTAGGGATGGTGGTAGGCTCTTGAGCAGAGATTAATAGGACATTGGATGCTGGGTCCATACCAAGTGGGTGGTAAGTCGTGACTGATGTTGCAGAAAATTGGTCTTGCAGAGACCCAAGGGGTGGATTGGAGGTAGCAGTCTTAAACAGAGCGAAAAGCCCTGTCTGTGCCGGTAATGGAGGCCTGGGGTACTGATGGTATGGGCTGCTTTGCTGGCAGAAGGGATGGAAAAGAAAGCACAGGTCTGTACCGTAGTTCAGATGAGTGAGTGGGTTATTATGGCTGGAGGTGAAGGAAGGAGAGCAGTACAAGATGATCGTAAGGTTTATCCATGGGTCAAGGAGTGTGTTGGTATCCTTGACAGAGGGAGGCTGCTTAGAACAGAAACCACTTGGCACGGGCCCCTGATGTTGATTAGTCAGTGTTGGTCATAACTGTCTCGGGGGAGACAAAATGCATATGTGCTAGAGGCATTTGCTGGTAGGGCTGGAGCTGTAAGTGAATTCATCCTACGGGTATCGTGGAGTACCTGCCACGTGCTGGCCACAGCTCGGTGCTGGACTCACCAAAGCTGCAGGAGTCTTGCTCTCAGGAAAGGTAATACACATGTGATTGGGTGAGGAGTTGGGGCTGGCCATAGGGATTTGAGCCCCACGGTGATAAGCAGGTGTCAACATTCTGAGGGAACTGGTATAGGGAGCCTGGGCCCAGGAAGACTTGCCGTGACAAGGAGGAAGAGGGGGTGCAGAGAGGCAGGAAGTGCTGAGGGCAAGGGTTAGAGAGAAGCAGGAGGACCAGGGAGGCTCAGTATTCCTGAACCCAGCAGTGGCAAGCTTCGGGAAAGAATGGTCAAGATTGTGTCTGTCAGGCAAATACATGTAGTATTTAATCGGATCTGCCCTTTTGCTTCTCTTTCAAGTGACTTTTCTTTTTACCCTCCTGATACATGACACGTGGTCAGATTTTGGCCTGGTAAGTCTGGGAGAGGATTTTGGAAATGCTTCTGAGTGTGATGTTTGTGCCATTTATAAAATTGGTCAGCCTTTTTATGTTAATGTCACAGTATATCAGGTATCCATGTAGGGGATTCTGAGCTAATCAATCCATTTTCTATATTATCATTAAACTTTATTTTGTGTGATTAAAGTTAAGTGTTAAAAAAAGGCACTTGGAGAGAAGAGATGTCAAACTAGTGTTGAGATTATGTTTAGGTCATGACTTTAAGCAGGGAGAATCTTGACTTACACTGTCTAAGGGATCACTTGGCAATTTATGGTTTTTAGGAGTGTCATTCTTTCAATAAATATTCACTGAATGCCTGCTGTGTATCAGGCACTATTTTATTATTTTTATTTTTTATTTTTTTAAAAGATTTTATTTATTTATTGAGAGAGAGTGCAAAAGGGGGGAGGAGCAGAGGGGGAAAGAGAGAGAAAATCTCAGGCAGACTCCATGCTGAGCATGGAGCCTGTTGTGGGGCTGGATCTCACCACCCTGAGATCACGACCTGAGCAGAAATCAAGAGCCAGATGCTTGACTGGCTGAGCAACCCAGGTGCCCACAGGCACTAATTTTAGACATCCATTACAAGTTCATCATCCATGTGAAATTTAAGAACTGTTTCTTTTGTAGATTTTTGTGTTCTTTTGAAATAACTGCTAAACCCCATGTTTTTTTTGTTTTGTTTTGTTTGTTTTTATCAATAGGGTGATTCCGAAGAGAATATGGAGGAGCATTCTCAAGAACAGAGGTAAGAAAAACAACAGGAGCAAATACCTGCATGCTGAACATTGCTGCCCAGTTTGGATGCTATCTGAAGTCTTGGTATATGTACGTTTGTGTTTACGTGTTTAATCAGTGATGTACGTTGTTCTTGGCGTTGGGGTATCTGTACTCTCTAATAATTAATATGTCTTTGTTTTAAAATAAGGTTGTACAGAAAGCTGTTAGAAATATCTCCCCTTCCCCCATCCTCAACTTTGCCTTTTCCATGGCACACTTACGCTGTTCCTCTTGTTCACAAATAGCTATTGAGCATCAGGCACAGTGCTGGGTGCTGGGCATAAAATATTGAACCAAACCTGTGTTGCACGTAGTGGTCGAGTCAGACATTACTGTAAATAAAACAAAATGGCTGTGATTATAATAACTATCAACAATGAGATTGCTGTGGTATGGAATAGTGAGGAAGATGGGGTGGTCAGGCAGGGCCCCTCTTAGCAAGTGACATTTGAGTCTGGAGGATGTGGAGGAATAGCCACATAGCAAACAGAGGGAGAGTGCTCTGGGCAGAGGGAGTGGTTGGTGCAAAGGCCCTGAGGCGGGAAGCACTGGCAAAATCCCAGGAATGTGGAGAAGGCCAGTGTGGTTTGTGGGATCGTGAGGTAAGGTAGGACCTTAGAAACCACAGCAAGGAGGTTGGGTTTTATTTTTTTAAGGGTGGTATGATTTGTTAAAGGATTTAAAGCAGGGGCTAACAAATCGAAAGGTGCAAACTACATTTTTAAGAGAATTCTTTTGGGGTGCCTGGGGGGCACAGTCGCTTAAGCCTCTGCCTTCAGGTTGGGTCATGATTCCAGGGTCCTGGGATCGGGCCCCACATTGGGCTCCTTGCTCAGTGGGGAGCCTGCTTCTCCCTCTCCCTCTGCCCCTCCCCCCGCTTGTGCTCTTTCTGTCTCTCTCTCTCTCTCAAATGGATAAATAAAATCCTTTAAAAAAAAAAGGGGGGAGAAGAAGAAGAAGATAGCCAGAGGGGAAGAATGAAGGGGGGTAAATCAGAGGGGGAGAGGAACCATGAGAGATGATGGACTCTGAGAAGCAAACAGGGTTCTAGAGGGGAGGGGGGTGGGGGGATGGGTTAGCCTGGTGATGGGTATTGGGGGGTGCGTTCTGCGTGGAGCACTGGGTGTTATGCACAAACAATCATGGAACAGTACATCAAAAACTAATGATGTAATGTATGGTGATTAACATAACAATAAAAATTTTTTTAAAAAAAAGGATACTTTGGTCATGGGGCAGTCTCCATCACTTGTCAAATTGGGATGTCTGGTCCCTTGGAGGTACATGGAGACTCTTAAGTGGTACCTGGGCACAGGGATAACTTTCAGAGAATCAGCTTGTATTTATTTGTTTGTTTGTTTTAAAGATTTTATTTATTTATTTGCAAGAGAGCACAACAGGGGGAGCAGCAGGCGAGGGAGAGGGAGAAGCAGGCTTCCCACTGAGCAGGGAGCCCGATGTGGGACTCTATCCCAGGACCCTGGGATCATGACCTGAGCCGAAGGCAGAGGCTTAACGACTGAGCGCCCCAGGCGCCCCGAGAATCAGCTTTTAGATCCCACGGTCTACAGATAGTCTCCTGCAACTGATCTGAGGTTGCAAGTTATCCTTTTCCACTTCTTCTTTTGTAATCTCTCTTTTCCCCTTTACAGAAGAAAGGCCTACTTCTTACCCTGCCCCCGTCTTACTATGGGCTCCATCTGGGGCGGACAGAGGTGTGACTTGAAATACTGGCATTGGTCAGGAGAAGTGATTAACTCCGATTAGATAACAAATTCTTTTGTAACTCTGGTGGTTTTCAAATCTTTCCACAAAACTGAAGGGCACAATCAAATTGGCAGTTGATAGATCATCAAAAGTGATTTTCAATGATAGATCACTGTGCTTTTTGGATAAACAGTGAGGGAGTTTAGAGAATATAGGGACAGTACCGTAACGATGTTCCTTCCATTCACATCCGTTGTCGTGAACAAGCTTTTTCAGTGCTTACATTTAACAAAAAAAGTGGACAAGAAAAATAGTAGTCACATGAATCAATGATGGGGGGCAAGACACTTTCATCCATTTCGTTAAAGAATGCATTTTCAGTAAATTTGTCTCAAGTTTAATCACCTATCAAAATTTATAAAATTTGTTGATCAGTTGTATACTAATGAAAATTATAATGATAATTCAGAAGAAAAAAATATTTAACACTTAAACCCTGTTGTCACAGGACATTTTTTTAAAAGCCTAACATTTCAGCTGAAACCCATAGTTTTGTTGCAAAAGGCCTTGAACATAATGATGTATGTATTAGGTTAAAATCCTTGGAGGGAATATCCAGCGATACAAGAACGCCTATTGGTGTGTTTAAAAAAATGGATGATGATTGGGCACCTGGCAGGCTCAGTTGGTACAGCATGTGATTCTTGAGCTTGGGGTCATGAGTCGGAACCCTACGTTGGGTGTAGAGCTTACTTAAAAAAATGAAGGATGGCAGGGCGCCTGGGTGGCTCAGTTGGTTAAGCGACTGCCTTCGGCTCAGGTCATGATCCTGGAGTCCCGGGTTCGAGTCCGCATTGGGCTCCCTGCTCGGCGGGGGGTCTGCTGCTCCCTCGGACCCTCCCCCCTCTCATGCTCTATCGCATTCTCTCTCTCAAATAAATAAATAAAATCTTTAAAAAAAAAATGAAGGATGGCAGCTTTCATTGCAGCAGTATTTAAATTACATTGAATATATTTTAAAAAGTGATTGTGTTTTATTTAAAAATGCCATAATATGCCAGGAATTACATTCTTTGCAGCCATTTAAATTCATAGTATAAAATTTTAAATATGGGATAAATATATGAGGCAGAGTTCAGAGTTTGTCACAGTCCTCTGTTGGAGTGTATGGGAGGGAGCAAGACGAGGCGAGGATTGCTGGTGGTGGTTCAGACGAGGCGAGGATTGCTGGTGGTGGTTCAGACGAGGCTGGTGGGAGTGGGGATGAAGGGACAGGCGATGGGAGGTTCTGAGATGAATTTTGGGGGTGGAGCAGACTCATTAGTTGCTGAATCAGGGGAAGAGAAGTCAGTCATGGAGGGCTTCTAGAATTTGGCTTGAGCATCTGAAGGATGACAACTGAGATGGGAAAGGAAGTAAGGGAGGGAAGTCAGGAACTCTGGTTGGTTGTCTCATAGGAATGTCAGACTTGATATGACTCGTCGCTGTGGCCGTGGCCCTGTGAGCCCCGCGAGGCCTCCAGGGCTGGGTGTGTCCAGCCTGTAGACAGCCTTGTTGCTCACCTCAGCCTTTGTTCTCTTCTGTCGATTGCGGCGTTCTCTCCTTTCTCATCAGTCAGAACTCGTTTCTTTTCCTCTGTTTTCTGTCAGACTTTAAGGTATTAGTAGATTTTATCCCCATGGGTCTTTTGACCTAGTGTCAGACTGTTCGTGAAGGTGTGTGGGGAGGCAGAATGGCAGCTGTGATTTAGCACAGTGGCTTTCAAACTTTCTGACAGTGACTCATGGTAAGGGAGACATTTTATATCATGCTCGCCTACCTGCCCATAGACGTATATATGGAGAAGTATGAATATGTATGCATGCTTTGTTTATTTGTTAAATGGTACTTACCTGTACTACCTGTGACACACCCTTTTCTATTTCATTTTTTTATTGTAAAATATACATAACATTGGCCATTTAAGCCATTTTTAAAACGTACAGTTCTGTGGCATTGAGTACATCCACATTGCTATGCAGCCAGTCCCTACTACCCATCCACAGAAATTTCTAGTTCATCTTATTTTATTAAAAAAAAAATGCTGCTTGCCACTACTGGATTGATATTTAAATTTCTTAATCATGATTCCCATTTTGATCAGCCCTGATTTATATATTTTAATCTTCTCAATATTAAATATTCCAGTATTTTGCTGTTGCTCTCCTTTTAACTTGGCATCCAGGCCTCTTCCTCTTTGTTTCTTCTGGCTTTTTTTTTCCCCCCTTGGGATTTGTTCCTTGTGTGTAAAGACTAGATCATGACACGGGTTGGATGGTGCTACTAGAGAATTTTCTTTGTGTCCATTTCCTGAAAACGTAGGTTCTGGAGCTCTTTCTAAGAATTCTCTCTCTAGGGCCACCTGGGTGGCTCAGTTGGTTAAGCAACTGCCTTCGGCTCAGGTCATGATCCTGGAGTCCCGGGTTCGAGTCCCACATCGGGCTCCCTGCTCAGCAGGGAGTCTGCTTCTCCTTCTGACCCTCCCCCCTCTCATGTACTCTCTCTCTCTCTCATTCTCTCTCTCAAGATAAATAAAATCTAAAAAAAAAAAAATTCTCTAAGTGTAATGTCCTGTGATAGGTAAATGAATCATCTAAGTACTTAGTATTCATTCACCTTTACTGCACTGTTGGGAATTTTTTTAAATGAAAATTTTAATACCTCCAAAGCTCATATAACGTCTTGCTACAGTTAAAATAGACCTTTTGTTTTAGAATATGTTTAGATTTACAGAAAAGCTGTAAAGAAGGTACAGAGAGTTCTCATAGAGCCCGCACGCACTTTCCCCTACTGTTAACATCTTCCATTATGCTGGCACGTCTGGTTCGTTACCATGAGCTAAACTCCACACTATCTGAACTTCACTTGTTTTTCCCTGATGTCATTTTTCTGTCCAGGATCCCATCCAGGATACCACATTACTTTTAGTTGTCATGTCTCCTTAGGGCCCATTTGGTTGTGACAGTTTGTCAGACTTGTTTGTGAAATCTTAACTGTTTTGAGGAGTAACGCTCAGGTATTTTGTAAAATGTCCCTCCGTTTGGGGCTGCCTGATGTTTTTCCTCCTGGTCAGATTGGGGTTACAGGTTCTTGGGGAGGAAGACCACAGCTCTAAATTGGTATTCTCATCACATATCAAGGATATCTGCTGTCAACATGGCTTATCACTTTGATATTGACCTTGATCACCTGGCTTTTTCACCTCTGTCCAGGCAACACTCT